TGGATGTCGAGATATCGGGTTCCAAAGCGACAAATTCATTTTTGAAATTTCCGGTAATATACTGTAGGGGTGTGTATATTATTATATATTAATAAATAATGTATTAACAATGATCGATGATTATTGATATGGATATTTATCAAAGATCATCAAAGTCATCGATTAATATTAATATTTCAGAGAAATATTTATCAATTTTTACAGATATAGTGATGATTCTCGATGAATATCACCCCAAAAAATTTCCTAATGTATGATAATGATGAACTCAAACATATATATCTGAAATTATGACCAACACAAAGGATGCCTGAATAAGAATGACATTGCATATTAAAGATCTTAATGTCAAGAAGGGGGAAGGATTATTATTAGTGACTTTTATGATAGCTTAAGTTCAAATATTTCTGATTTATCCGATTTTGAGAGAGACCAATTTATCCAGTTCAGGATCGAAAAATATATATATATAAGACTGTATCTGTAGATTCGAAGAACCATTGCTCTGCAATAAAGAAGCGTTCTACTAAGCGAAAAAATGCAAAGTGAGAATGCATGGCCACAAAGCGAAAGCAAATCACATCACGTTATAATGGACTTCAAGGGAGCGATGACATGATAAGCGATTAATATATTTACATCGGAAAACCGTGATGAATTTTTATTATATAATACGAAAAAAATCTAGACTATCTATTGCAAAGTAATGGGATTCGTCCAACACTTCGCTATACTATTCGGGATCAGACAACGGATCTTCTGCCTTTAATCCACGTCTCAAATCTAAGAATAAAATAATAATGATTAGCCTTGATGTGGCAGCGAAGCGATGCTTATAAAGATAACCTGATTAATATGCTGATATAGCGGAGCTGATGCCTAGGGCATCTAATTACTTAATATTTCCTCGCCTCTTATCACAAGCTCCTTCTGGTATCCCAGTTTGACTTTTTTTCGGTTGGGAGTCTAATTCGGTTATTCAGATCTCGTGCGTCATTGAGATCTTGCCGGGGAATCATAGGAACAACCAACCCATGGGAATCTCTTTCGATTCGATCCTCGTGATCTTTATAAACCTGAGTGAAGTCACGCAGATGGTGGAAGAACATACTATGAACGAAATAAACGATACTGTGCCGGATCCCTCGAGTTACGTGAGGAAAAAGCAACAACCTGCCCTGAACGAAGTGGAACGATAATTTGGAGTTGGGGGAAACATAACTCGCCTCCTTCGAATTCTCCAAGAGCAACCAAGCAACAGAGACTATTCGGTTCGTCGTGTTCATCCCAGTGGTAATCGCTGATGGTATTATAATTAATCGCGATCATAGGGAAGCTCTCGGTGCGAATGTCCCCCATTCTAACTTGCTTAGTTTCTCGTATAAATTCAGATAATATTTTTTAAGAAATCCATTAACACAATTTGATAATGGCACGAGACTATGGGTCAAATTATTGACGCACTTTTGATGATCGGTGTTATGTGCACTCGCCGTATTGGAAGAGGTTGTACAACGCATATGCACCGAAATGCTCGATGAAATCCTCCCAGAAATTTTTGCTCCGATGCGAGGGATTATTCAACGTATGGAAATAGTAGTGATTAATAGCATCTGTAGCTTTTACAATCGCATTTGGGTTATTAAGATTTTCGAGATGTACTAATGTCTGACCACCCATATCGGTAATGCATTCAGGATCGACAATATAACGAAATCCTACCAATCTGTCAAGCAAACGAAAATTATCTCGCGCATGTGATTAACTGTTTTTTTTCTTTTCGGGTGGAACGTATAGGAGCTGGAATGGGACTATCCCAATTATTTTGAATATCCATGGCGTGTTCGAGTTGTTTCCACTTCAATCTTAGGTGTTCGCGAACGTCTCTTCTTCGGAATGGCTCTTTCATTACTAACCAACGGCCGAAGGCAATCCATAAACGTTTTTTCTTATCACCTGTGGATGTCTCACGAAGTGAGGATGTTATCGCATCTGAATCAACCTTGTCAATTATATCGGTATCAACTAACATCAGAAAATCGGAGGGAATATCGAGTATTTCGTATGTGCAGGTGTTGTTAGATCTCGTTTCTCTAATTAACGCTTCTATTAATAAGTCCCTCGTAGTTATATCATGTTGCGTCTTTATTTCTTTAGATGTTATCCGATCCAAGGGAGAGTGGTATATCCGACCATTCGTTTTCAATGTAATATATTTTATCAGAATTACATAACCCCCGAGTTGCAGATTGAATACGATGCTAAAAATAATAACGAGAATTTAGCTTGTTTAGTTTTAATGGTATTAAGATACCTTTTTCCTCAGGTATATAATGCGAGAAAGCGAGATAAATAAAGCGTATCAAATTGGTTGTAATTTTTTGCGGAGCGGAATAATTACACTTGCTAAAGCGCTGAGCCACCAACCCCATGAGTATTGGTGATTGTGCGTCTGTTGCACCCCACAACTTGCTGGGCAAACTCGCGACAAATAACTCAGGTAATTCCCCTATCAGCACAAAATAATAACAACGAACAAGAAAAAGTATTTGCTATACTAGATAAGGTGTCGTATTAACAAAAAAAAATAAATATACTCTCGCCGGATCGAATACTATATCAAGGTCGGTAGAAGAGTTAGTTGGTACGTCTTCTGGTACATGGGAGGGGGGTTCATTTTGTTCGTGCCCGTGCTCACGTTCCCACTTAAGCCTTTTATTTCTGCGTTTGCGGGCCTCTCGCGACAACTTCTTCGTAGCTGGTGTTTCCTCCAACGTATATTCTTTTCGCTTATTGGTCGAGTTAGTTGTGTCCATCGTAGCAGTTCGTGGTAGGATAAGAAAAAAAGGTTTGTATTAACTAATAAGCGGAGAAATCAAAAGTAACACTACTCGACGAGCCGTTAGAAATAAAATTCCCAGAGCCAATGTCCTACTCAAGAAGAATAGCGTAACTTTCGCAGAAAAAAAAGAAGCGTGGGAAGGGAGGTAAGTAATCATTGATTGGTAAGGGTGTATATATGACGATCAACCAATCAGCATCGTCTATTTCAGGCTATATGATTAATTTTCCGGTATGACTTGTGGAGTGGAAACTGTAGTACTATCCTCCATTGATGTAGAAATAGGATGGTCGAGAATCAACAAACCGAACCAAATCTGAATAAGCATTTATGCTATCCGTTAGGATGATGATATGTTCCGATGATTCAGCCCTACTAATTGTCCTTATACTGAAACTTGCTTTTGAAGGGGCTATTAAGATACCAATTGTTGTACATTTATTATATCTGGATAAAACACCTTCTAATTCACGCAAAAATTTCGGCCCAATTGATCTAGGCTCACCATAATTCTATAATGATTATAAAATATTAAATTTTTGAATTATTAAATTTAAACATTATACTTACTTTACATTGGACTATAATTGTATATCCTTTATAACCACCAAAATGATCAATCCCACCATCTCCCGGCTCTTGTCTATTTGGTATAGAAAGACATAAATAAATGAGTATTTGTGTCATAATTGTCAAGAATTATATTCCGGTACATATGCCAGTCTGCTTTTCGAAAACAGAGAAGAACGTTCACGGCAGGCCGTCCACTGTACATCAAGTCTGAATACCTGATTAGTAACTTTCGCAAGCCGTGGCCACGAAGAGCTTTCAATTCTCTGATTTACTTCTAGTGACCAGATACATAACAACTCAACAAATAACTCGGTGAAACTCACCTTATACGACGTAGTTCGATGTTACTACCTTTAAAAAGTTCTGTGATTTCTTTTTCGAGTTGGTCGCCTTTTTCATAAGAATTCATTTTTTTTTATAAATTTATCTTAGTTGCTAATGGAGATAAATTTTAGTTGTGTGTTCTTACCATACCATTTTTCCTTTTATTATATTCGTAAAACAATAAGCAAGTATAAATGCCTCTTTGGGTAAAAAAAAAACGAGGAATATAACGATATCGATTACCTTTTTTAGATGAGATTACACAAAGTTCAAAAGGGCCATATCGATAGCGGTGTAAAGCGAAATAATAAACTTTCGTTAATATCAATCGAGACTGCACAAGAATTAATTAAAGTAATATCTTCACTGCCCTTTTAATGGTTTTCGCATTTATTAATGTTATCGTGTATGCCTGTATAATTTTGAGGTGCATGCGGAATCTAAATCTTGATAGCATTAATAGGATACCCTAAAAAAAAGTTACGGGTCATGTGATATCCGGTATGTCCGGAAAAATTCTACGGTAATAGAGATTATTGTTAAAGGTTAATTTAAAGGTTAGGGTTAAGGTTAGATCTGTGATCAAATTTATATATAAAATTGCCTTCCCGACATTTTTTGTTAGTCTATCAAATTAGATTTAGGCATCTGTTTCCCGTATTTTTTACATTTTTTGCTTTTTTCATTTTCTTGTGTCGATTTGTTTTGCCGGGCTGATCAAAAATTTATGCATTTTTATTGGTTTGTATCACTAGTAAATCAAAAATTCACGCATTCTTATTGGCGACACGTGATCCGTAACTTTTTTTTCACCATGGCTAGAATACTTGCATTAATAATGATGACGTATAGATACACATATTACAATTTTATTGGTTGATCAACTAATAAAAATCACATGATTAACGATTTGCCGAACTATCCGGAAATGTTATTATATTCGTCTGTTCACATCAAAAAAAATTCGCCATGTGTAATTACTCAACTGAGATATTCTTATAATGTGTTATTTTTCATAGAATTTTATAAAAAAAAATCTGTCATATCTACGTTGCATCTTTATCGCACCTATATTGCATTTCAATTATAAGTATAATTAACAAATAGAAAATTACACATCTCGAATTTGCTTATCTCAGACCGGATGATTTCAAATAGTGTGTGTTATATATCATAGAAAAATTAAATCATATGCTTGTAATACATCTGAAATAAATTCCACATGTTCAAAATAGATTTCATTCATAAAGATATATTTCATATGCTCATTCAATTATCATGAATGATTGAATAATATATACACAAGCGATTTATACATAAATATCACTACAAATAGATTCTTTAAAATCAACTCTAAATTACAATTTTTGCTACAATTCAATATGCATTTCTTCCATTCTCATCATATATATCACTTGCAAATTATAACAAATATATATATTCCTATAATATATTATTAAAAATTGATCATGCAAAATATTGATTCAAAGTTTAAAAAGCCAATTTTATTGACATCATACATAATAACACAAATACAACAATAAACAAAAAACAATTCCATTTTTTCTCTTTTTATAATGCATAAAAAGGAGTTGACAAACGAATAAAGAAAGCAAATAATTAGCACTTATCTTGCTGGTGTTAAAGATCTAAATCTTGTACTTAAATTCAATATTTCTTAAGCAACAATATATAATACCATCAAATAATATAGAAAAACCAATTCTTCATATCCTAAAAAACATTCTGATCAGTCAAAAACTCTGATTAATCATGAAAAACATATACTAAAACAAGTTATTCTAAAAAATTAATTTTCTTCACTTGATAAAATCATAAATAAACTAAATAGTAAACTCAACTAGAGATGGTGTAGCAAGTATGTGATGCTTATTTATCATCTTGTTGCAACATATTGCAACTCCAAAATTTTATAAGCTGCAACTAGTTGCAATTAGGTAATGCTTTATTTGTCACCACGTTACAATAATTATCACACCATTTTTAAACTCAACACTACTTATCATGTTAATATCATCAAACCCCTCTATAGTCATCACCCTCAGGAAAGCAAAATTTGATGACTATAGAGGGAATGTGATTATAGAGAGATTTTTTTTACTATATTTATATATAAATAGAAAAGCAAAATAAGATGACTATAGAAGGGTAACTATAGAAGGGTGTGACTATAAATGGATGTGACTATAGAGAGGTTTGATTGTACTTAGATAAAATAGAATTCAGAAGCTATATTTCAAGAAAAAAATTCCTTTTAACTGCAAATCAAGAACTTCATTGATTAAATTGATACCAGGAAAAATATGACTGAAAAGTATAATAAAAAAATATAATATGATATAACAAGTTTAGATTCACACTTTTTGAATCAGATAATTGGATAAGAGTATAATAGAAATTTGATGAAGCTTATCATTAAGTATACATTAAACCTATTATTAAATTTGATGAAGAGTCAATAATATTTTGTGAGTGTTTCGATTAGAATAAGATTGATCCTTTGGTATCAATAGAAGAAATCATAAATTCAGATATTTATATTAATATTCTCGCTAATTATTTTGTACCCTGAGCTCATTAATATCTATACATTATATTTTAACAAGATGGCATGTCATGTCATATCTCAATATATATAACTTAATAGATGTCAATATATAACATTTGACTTTTGAATTGGATTGATCAAAGTTCTGATCTCAATCTGATTAAATATCTATGTGATATTTTGGATTGCTGAATTCAAAAAAAAAGACTGTTACCTATATTAAAGCAAGAATTAATTTGTATACTACAAGAAAAATAAATAAGTATTAATTTGGAAACTTTGTGTAATTTAATTTTGAGTCTATCTAAATGTATAGACAAAATTATTGAAGCCAATGGCAAAAGCATACAATATTAATTGTAGATTCTTAAATTTGAACCAATATAACTATATATTTACTACTTTATTTTTTTTTAATTTATCATATGTTTAATAAATACAATAATTTTTTATTTAATAATAAAAACTTTGATTCATTGAATAATTAATATTAAATTTTTGGTAATATACTGTAGAGATATATATATAACTTATCTAATAATCCAATTCATATTAAATTTAAATTATATATTTTATAATATATAGTTATTAAATCAAATATAATCAAATCCCTCTATAGTCATCACTCTCAGAAAAGCAAAATTTAATGATTATAGAGAAAATATGACTATAAATAGATTTTTTTACTATATTTATATATAAATAGAAAAGCAAAATAAAGTAATTATAGAGAAGTATAATTATAAATAGATGTAATTTGACTATAGATCTAAATTCTTAAATATAATATAAATTATATAATCTCTAAAATATATTATAATAGACTATATAAAATGAGTAATTTTAGTAGTTTAGTAACTTATAATAATTCTAAATATTCAAATAAAAAATAGAGTGAATATATGAAGATATTACAAGTTTATACTAATGAATACCAAGTAAATAAAGAGATCAAATTTTATCTTATCTTATATATTTTAAAGAAAATAATCTTTTATCTGATAGAAGTAGTAATTATCTTTTCCATACAAAAATATTATTATAGTATATTTTGTTTGTTATATATTATTAGATAATTATTTAATTTATTTTTATTGAACACTTCGTATAGTATATTTTATTAAACAATATTTATTTTTAATTTTATTGATTAGTTATTTTTGGGCTTATTATTTATATGTATTATGTATCAATATGACAGATATATTGAATCTTTGATATTTTGAACTGTTAATTATTAGAAATATTGAACTATTGATATTTTGAAATATTGATCTTTAGAATTATAGAGATTTTGCTAGTTTAGTATTACAGATATTTAGAAATTTTTGCAAAAATTAATTTTATATATAAATAGTACTTCACTTGATAGCAAAAAGGCAAGTTTCATAGAAGTTTAATACTTAATTTAATTATAAGAAAGTAACATAATAAGTTCTTAATAATAAATTTACTTATTAAATACCTTATAATTATCCTTTGATTTTTAGTATAGTTTTGATTATAGACTTGGAATAGTTTATATAATATTATTATTCTTGTATTATATACTTATATAGTTTATATATAGAGCACTAACTGAGGCAGTAATAGTGAAAAGTATAGTAATAAAGAAATTTATTAATAAAATTATCTTAAATTTATCATAATTGTATAACTTTCTTAATAATAAACTTAACTTAATTTACTATCTCCTTTTATAATTATAAGAGACCTGTTAAAGATCTTCTGCTATACAAATACTATTGTTACAAGTTTGTTCACTAATCGTTAAATTAGCTTACAAAACCTGAATCTGGGTTGGGAGAGAGTAATAGACTGATAAAAATATATTAAAAGGAAAGAGGGGTATCTAAGGCCTATGCCAATTTC